TTCATCACACATATTCATACACACATTTAACATAGTTCACGCACTGCACAGATTGTTTTTGGCTAAGCTTGTATGACAATGTTTTGCCAGCATTGCCTTTCATCCCTGTGTACGAACAGTGTCGCGCATTTCGTGCATCGTCGCGAGAGACGAAGTTGTGTTGCATGTTGATGGCATTTCTCATTCGTAGCTTCTCAAGTTGTACGCTTACATTGGTGTAAGTCATAACAAACAGTGGCACATGCATAGGTCGCTTGTTGCTTATGTGAAACCAAGCCACTTGTGCACTAGTCTAGTACATACACATGTAAATTCATGTATAATTACCGCTCAAACTCAAGGACTGGGCAGCTAATTCCCAAATTTCCATTTTCTTGTGCACATTTTTGTATTCCCGATGTGATAAGTTGTTTGGCTACTATGAACTAAACAACCGAAGAAACAGCTGATTTCCTCGCGGTTACCATGTTTTGAAAAAACGAACCTATATTTAGAAAAGGGAAAATAATAAGAATATATATATAAAACAAAGACAAATCTTTATAAACCATCTTATTCTAAGCCAGATTAAAATAATCAATTAATATATTTTCAAACCAACACAAAATAATCCTGTCAATTTGTTGTTTTCTTCTAAAACTTTGAAACAAAAAAAAACTGCGGCCACCTTTGGCAAGCAAGAATTAAATCTATCGCCTCGAAACGCCGTCGGTATTAGTGCGTTCCAGAGCTTCTACGATTTGTAGTATTGTTCCGATACAAGTAACTACGAGTAAATACTCGCTAATTTCTTCAAGTACTGAGTACTTTTTGTACTACAATCTTTCCCACAAGTACTTAGTTGGGTTCGAGTACGCGGTTAGAGTATTTACTTGCTTTTCCACCCATTCAATTGTGACATATACTACGTTTATACGCATGCATAAGTCGCTTTAATTCATTTCGCCGCGATTCAAAACATATGTATAAACTGAATTTCAAATCGCTTTGAAAGAGCGAAGTGTTTTGGCTCACACTCCATTTCAAATCGGTAGTTTAATTCTCCAGACAGTTAGAAAGAGTGTATAAACACCGCTCTCACTCAAAGCGAATTGGAGATCAGCTGTTCCGCTCAAATTCCAAATAATCGCATCAGTAATTAAAAGCTGATTAATAATAATCGTTCTTTTTCTTTTCCACGATTTTATAATGCCGAATAAAACTAGATTTTTATCACTTCCCATTATGTTAACTTATAAAATGTCAAATGAAAACTGCTGATTTGGTTTGCTTTTGAAGACGGTTACTTTGATGCCGATATAAAGCCGTAAGTATAGACACTAGAACGAAATGTGTACGGTGCCAATGCGCTTTCAATTAAGTCGATTATTCTGTGCGTATAAACGTAGTAATAGTGTGCTATAGTATTTTTGGCAACACGTTCAGACCTTAAGTCATTGTGGAAGAATACAAGTGAGATATCTTAGGGTTGACAGATAGTTGACAGGGTGTTCAATATGGCGATGACAGTGTGAACAGTATGGCAGCCAATATGGCATACAACACCGAATGGTCCGAAGTTGCAAAACTACGACCCGAATGAAACGCTTCGTGAAAATCCAGGGTTGCGAAGTGGTATTTTGTTGGAAAATATAAAAGCCAGGATTTTTTGCAGCGCCGAATTTTAACAAAAGAGGGTTTTGTGTTCTCAAGATGAACAGAAAAGGGTTGCTGTGCTGTTTCGTTTTAAGCTTATTTTAATCTTAAGATATCTAATTAAATATTAAAAGGAGACAAAAATTAAAGCAAAAACTTAAAATATATGTACATATCTGAAAATTTTAAATAAAATATATATTTTCACGAGAGACAAATTAAATAAAATGGGTTAACTTTAGGGGAACTATACTTATCAGATTGGGTCAGATAGCGCGTTTACGTTATAAATAAAAATAATTCCTACTTAAATTTTATTTAACTTTGGTGACGTATTTCTAAGCTGATCCTGAGATCAGTGAAATAATACATATTTATATGCATATATTGTGTTGATTATGCTCTAAATCGCTAAATAATGCTTGCAGGAATCAGCACCATTGGAAAGTGAAGTGACAATAGGCCGGTTTTCTTTATACAGCCCGTTTTAAATTCGAATTATTGTTATAATAAATTACAATTATTGTTTGTTTCCATTTCGGTCAACCGCGCAAATTATTTATTAAAAAATGTCGTTTAAAAATAGCAGATTTTTTTTACTTTTGAATAAGACTTAATCGAGTGCGCTATAAAGACAGGGGTATAAATTATGTTGAGTCCAATCGGTTTTTTGCTAATGCGGTTCTTGTGTAGGTATAAACAAGGTATATTAAAAAAAATACCTCTTCATGAAAAACATCGTTATTTTCGTATTTAAAATTAATCGGAATTTTATGTGGGGTTATAAAACTCGTTTTAATCGAAACTATGTTTTTTCGGCTATATTTTTTATTATTTATTGGCCCAGATGTAAATATTGAATAAACTAACATATTTTAAATATTTACGGAACTACCATTTGTATGCAACCCTGCCTATCCTATATTCAAGTAGATGTAATTCGAAAAATTTAAACGGATTTCTTCAAGTCAACCTGAGCTGCGGACATATTGCGAATTCATTTTTAAACATTAACCACTACATTATATTAGTATAAAATAATTTCAATTAAGAAACAATTCTTATTAGAAAATAAATATGAATCGTTCTATTTTAAATATTCCAATGTATACGTATTTTATAACCGTAATGGGCTGTTTTTGCTTATGCGTAAAAGCACATTTAGCGCATTTAGCTCTAAATGCTACTCTAAATGTACATTTATCCATACAAAAATTCGTGACCTAAATGCAACTCCATTTTTGCATTAAGAATCTAAATACTAAAAGCAACCCTGTGATCTTCCAAAATTTCCACGATTCGAACATGGTTTAATGAGAAAAACTGGCAACATTGCTTTTTCGAGTATACAGTCGCTAGCTGCGTTTCAGTGATCGCCGATCGAGATTTCATTTATTATTTTACATTATTTGGATAAAGAAAAGTTACGCAAATTCAACATCGATATGATGCTGATAGAAATCTGGATTAATTTGTGATCAACTCTGTTTGTTTTGTTTCCTAATTAAGTGTGGAAATTATAATTGACAGCGCCGACAAATGAACATATACACAAACAAATGTTCGGTTATGGTTAAAACAATTCAAGTTTTTGTATTGAACTTTCGGTTTAGAATTAATCTTTTCTTTTCAGTAGGGGTTTTTGCACATTATCTTTTCCGTGAGAATTTATCGTAATAGATATCTGAATAAGCGACTGGAACAGGGCTGTTTGTCAAAAGCATACGATTTTGAACTCGCGTAAATGTACATTTGCTAACACCTGATTTACATGATTCAAGTACTTGAAAGCAATTCTTGCTCATTCTCTTTTGTGTCTTTTATTTGCTTTTACACGTTTCAATTCTGTTGAATTCAAGTCTTTGGTTCTTTAAATGGGAAGCAACGAAAATGCCAAAAGCAAAGCACGAAAGTTGAAACGACTTGACGGTACAGACGCATGTGTACTCGTCCCTTTTCTTCTCACCACCTCTCTTCCGCATGCGAGCAGAATTGAATTCAATACTTGAACTGTGTAAAAGCAGTCAAAATGCGGTAGCATGAACGCTCTTCGAAAACATATGTTCGAAAGTGCTAAATGTTGCATTTTAAATGCAGCAAAAACGCTGCATTACATGGGGAACATAAATTTAAGGCAGATTGCTATTAACAATTTTTGCACAATTTGCGATTGCAATCAATTTCTTTCAAAACTATAATCTAAATGAGTGCAAGTTGTATTTTTTACGATCAAAATAGATTCCAATATTAGGTATATTATGCTAATGCAATCCAACTGGATTTGAGTTATTCAGTTTTAGATACATTTATATTTCTGTGTACGTTTGGAATAGTAGCTTATGTCGGGAAGCTGGCTTTAGTATAATCATGCATTCCCTTTATTATTTACAACACAAGGAATTTTTTGATGATCCTTAACAAGAATATGGACGTGCTAGTATCCGAACTATTTCTTGCACGTTTATTTGCCAAAATTTCTTCAACGGCTCGGCGCCAGTGAGGGTATGCTGCGAATGCCGAATTATACTAAAACCAGGCTTTTGACATAAGCTACTATTCCATACAAGTGGGGCACGTGCGAAATGCGGATTTTCCCAGTTGCAGTACTGCAGTAACTCGACACCTTCCTCACCAACAGCTCTGTCCTCTATGAGCTTCTTAATGTAACTGCAAATAAAAGATGGAAATTTAAGAAAAACTACTATCACAGCGTTTCTTTCTTGTAGGATATTGGCTATCAAGCACCAGAAAATTTCCATCACGCATTCCATATGCCACCGATTGTCGTGGATCAATGAAAATACTGTCATCACAGCTTTTTGGTACACCAGCAACTGATGTGTCTATGGCGGAGTTATGTGGAGCTGTTGCATGACTAAAATCAATTTGGACTCTTTGAGAACTGGCTTGTTTGTTGCGAGAGCTATTGGCATCAAATGTATGCAAATTAGATTTCCAAACGAGCAACTGTTGAATACAGGAAAAAATTTATATTATATGGTTCCGCTAAAGTGCACTACTACCGTGTATAAATTGATGGACCTTCTAATAAATCAAGCAATCTTATTGTATCGTCATCGCCCCCAGTCACCAAGAAATTTCCACTTGGGTGAAATGCAACATCTTTCTCCGCCGACGAATGCACTGTATTAGCTCGCCTTCAGCTATGTCAAATATCTTAACGCGGTTACAACTTAATGCTAAAGCAATGTTCGGCACGCCATAGTACAATTGTACAAGCTCTCATCACACGCATTTGTTACGCTCTTTCGTTTGGCGTTGATGAATCCAAATGAATTTCTAAATTTTTTATTTGAGTTTTACTACAATATTTTCACAACTCAAAAAACTATAAACTCGAGAAAACCAGTTTTAAAGTTTTGAATTTATATATATAAATTTTTACACATCATAAGAAAGAGCTAATGTACATTCTTGCATACTTAACCCGATTTTTGCTTTATTGGGATTATGATACTTTTATAGTAAATGAGCGATGCACATATATGTACATAGGTATGTGTTAAATATACGTATTTATGTGTTTTTATTGAAGACCGATAAGTTAAAAATTTTGTTTCACTTCTCGTAATTTCCTACTGGGTTGCTCATGCGAAGCAGTTCTCTTGTGCTTACCAACACAAACACAATTTAGCTTTTGCCGACCACTGTGCTAAAGCCACCAGATTACCGTCCCATACCTCTTCCCCCGGTGAACGTTCGCACACATTCGCCTGAAAATGTATCGCAAATTCTTAACTTGTCATCGCCGCACGATGAAATTAACTTACCATTAGGGCTGAATTTTGCTGCGCGCACCCATTTGTGTGTCCAGTGAAAGATGTGTACTTTGAATCAGTATTTTGATGGCTGTTCGCCATTTTTCTAGTCTGCAAACGAACAAGCTGACGAAGATGCAAACAAATTCAAGCACATTGTTGCATTCTACCGTACTTTTTAAAAGCTTTAAACCCTTAAAACATATGTGAAAAACTTTCATAATCTGAATATTTCTAATGTCGCAATCAAAACGAAATTTTATAAATAGCATTTTTAAAAAGCAATCATCTAATATTTTTCAAGTTTTTGGGCATATTTGTTACCATTTGAACAACAAATACTACCAAGTTTTAAGAGACTATTTAATGCAACTCAGGTCAAAAAAGCGCAGTTTAGACCAAAATAAGCAACTCTAAAAAACAGATGATCGCAGCTGTGGCCCAGGATGACGTCTATTGCTAAGATATCTCATTTGTATTTGTACACAATGCCTTAAGTTGTACCCAATCTTAACGTGTATGAAGCAAATAAAATAAGTTGGAGAATCGGACTTTGACAACGCCTTAATAATTGAAATTGGATACAGAAATGAAGAAACTGCCAAGACTGTGTTCCCGTACTAGTAAAATTTTCACGTTTTGCAAGATTTACGGCCACTCTTTCGGTAGGTTTCGGCCGAAAGTACTCGATCAAACTTATGGCTGCTCTTTTCGTAAGTTTCGATCGGAAAGTACTCGAATTGTTAATTTTTTTCTTCCCATGATATAGCATGCGTCGGCCGCTGTGGTGTAGTGGTAAGCAGTGCGCGCTTCCACTCCGCAACGCCTGGGTTCAAGCCCTGGCCAAAGCAACATCGCAAAAAATATAGAAACAGGTTTTTTCTTAACAGCGGTCGTCCCTCGGCAGGCAATGGCAAACCTCCGAGTGTAGTTCTGCCATGAAAAACAGCTTCTCATAAAAATACAATCGCCGTTCGGAGTCGGCGTAAAACTGTAGGTCCCTCCGCTTAAGTGACAACATCAAGGCGCACGCCACAAAACGGAGGAGAAGCTCGGCCAAACACTAACATATGTGTAAGCGCCAATCTATTAATATTTATTATTTGATATAGCATTGCCGCGGCGGCTGATAACGCAACTTTCTTATTAAACTTATCAAACTTTTTTAATAAATATATTCAAATGCGTATAAACATGCACAGGCCCTTTGAATTTGCATATATAATATTTTCCGAAATTATTATATTAGTTCTACGGAATGCTGTAATGAGTTCGATACGAGTAAGTATCGCGTACTTCTCTCCGATACATTTGTAACATCGATACTTTTCTTCGATATTTTGAAAGAGTACAGGTATCGGGTACATGACAGTATCGGAACAACACAAACGATTTGCAGGTTTTGCAGGATTTACAGGCCAACCTAATATTCACGCAAGCCGGCAGTTTACTGTCAAAAATTTCTCATGCATATACAACTTGTATAGGACCAACCGAATTTGTGTTGCGTGTCATTTCGATTTGACGTTTGTGCTCATTTGACATTTTGGCGCGACTATGAATTAAAATTTTGGAACAAATGCAGAATAGCTTCGATTCTCAAATTAAAAAACACATATGGGGATCGATAGAGATCATTGAGGTGAGTATAACGGTATATTTTTATTTTCTTGCGGAAAGAACAACTACAATAGTTATTAAGACTCAAAGTTCAAATTAAACAATTCTTCAAATCAAAATTTTTTGAAAACGAATGCATGATCTTAAAAAATTTGATCTCAATTGATAGGAAATTTGATTCCTTTTAATCTGATATAAATATAATCCTCCCTAAGTAGAATTTTCCTTTCTGTGTTGCCGCAGAAGGGAAGCGGAATTCCTTTCTGCGTACATTAATTAGATTTTTGTGAAAACTAAACAAGGCATATATAAAGTATGTATATCAAATTAAAGGGAACTTAATTTCCTATCGATTGAGGCCAGAACTTTTAAAATCCATATATTACTTTTTAAGAAATTTTGATTTAAAAAATTGTTTAATTTGAACTTTGACCCTTAATAACTTTTTTATTTATTGTTTTCGCAAGAAAAGAAATATACCGTTATACTCACCTGAATGATCTCTATAGATCCCCATATGTTTTTTTTTAATTTGAGAATCGAAGCTATTCTGAATTTATGCTCAAATTTCGCTCAACTTCTGAAATTGGAAAGAAATGAAACTCTGAAAAATCACGCTCGCAAATTTATGTCGGTTACTAAATGTGAAAAACTTGCGTGCGTGCGTAGAAAAATTCACGCCGTTAATATTAAGTTGGCCTGTTATGCAGCGTTTTTGCTGCATTTAAAATGCAACATTTAGCACTTTCGAACATATGTTTTCGAAGAGCGTTCACGCTATTGCATTTAGCAAATGTACATTTACGCGAGTTCGAAATCGTATGCATTTTACAAACGGCTGTGTTCCTGTCGCTTATTCAGATCCGTATCTATCACGATCAATTCGCACAGAGAAGATAATGTGCAAAAACCCCTACTGAAAAGGGAAAAAGAAATTTTAAACAAAAAGTTCAATACAAAAACTCGAATTGTTTTAACCATAACCGAAAATTTGTTTGTGTATATATTCATTTGTCGGTGTTGTCAATTGAAATTTCCTCATTTAAATAGAAAAAAAAAAACACACGAGTTGATCACTAATTGAGCCGGATTTCTATCAGTATCACATCGATGTTGAATTTGCGCAACTTTTCTTTTTCCAAATAATGTAAAATAATAAATGAAATCTCGATCAGCGATCACTGAAACGGAGCTAGGAACTGTATACGCGAAAAAGCAATGTTGCCACTTTTTCTCATTAAACCATGTTCGAATCGTGGAAATTTTTGAAAATCACAGGGTTGCTTTTAGCTTTTAGACCCTTAATGCGGAAATGGAGCTGCATTTAGTTGCATTTAGGTGACGAATTTTGTATGGATAAATGTACATTTAGTGTAGCATTTAGAGCTAAATGCGCTAAATGTGCTTTTACGCATAAGCAAAAACAGCCCATTAGTCCAAAGCACAGTATATACAGAAATAAACCTTTTTGAATACTCCTTGGGGGCAAAATCTGATCAGGGTTGATAATTATAATGAGAAGGAGCATGAAATTTGTTGATTCAGAGTTGTATACAAAATTACTTTGGTATGAAAAGGACCACCCACCTCGCTATGGCAGAGTGGCACGTGACATTGCTATATAATAGTGACCGAAATTAATCACAGAAGTGTAAAAAATTCCAAATTATTTTCTATTACTATAGAACTAGTACAGATCATCATAGTTCAGTGTTTAACTGGTTATATTACACCGTAAATGATAATGAACTGTTAAATACTGGCAACGCTAAATCTACTCATCATGTTACAGCAGCTCCGGGTAATGGACCATTGAATGTGGCTGAAGTTATGATCACCATAACCAACGAAGTCTCCAAGCAAACGCATGTCCTGAATTTATACGGTAGCAATTCATAGCAATTACTATTGTATGTGTGTATGATTCATATTTGTAATATTCTATACTTTGATCAAAGCAATATTAAGTATTTCTGAGTAGCTCCGGGTAATGGTCGGTCAAACTTGGGTATGTTTAATGAGCTGTCTTGGCAGATGCGCTGGCAGGAATTGGAGTCTCTATAACTATACAAAACTCGTTTTTTTATAAAAACTTAAATATATTCGGAATTTTAGAATTTTACTTGATAAATTCACAAAATAACGCAAAATTCACATTTTTTCATAAAAATATAATCTTAAAATAGACATGTTTTTAATTTTAAATTTACATTTGAGAAAACTCCATTCAGTACAATAACTACGATTTCAGTTTTTCAGTTTATAGAAACAGAAGCATTAATAATGTTCTTAACTATTGATATTATTCTAATTAGGCATTGATATTAAACTTCACCTACATTTTGTTCACAAATTACACATAATTACATATATTTGATCCTTGAAAAGAACTTTTTCTAATCGTGAGGCGAAACTCCCCACAGTTAGTGTTGCCGTGCCCGCAAAACAAAAACGCTGCACACAACCCAAATATATATACTGTGATAAGAAACACAGTATATACCAGAGCTGTAAAACTGTGAAATCATATGAAATTAAAAATCATCAATTTTATGTTATTATGTTTTCATTGAATTTTTCCTTGTTGGGGAATGTGGCTTATAATTTTCCAATTCTACATTCACTCAAAGTAGATACGATTGCACACATTAACATATTCAAAGAAAGATTGAAAAAACTGAATGACGAAACATTAACTTTTAACACTGAATAAGCATTCAGATGAATGCAGCTTTTGCTATGTGTGCACACATTCATTCAGTACCAATCAATCGATATAAATATTCTAAATACACAAAACCCACTGAAAAATACGCAAGGTTGAATTTTATTGAACAGATTTCAAAATTTCAACACGAAAAATAGTTTATTGAGCGTTATCATTAATTTGTTTCACTTAAATTTGTACAAATATTTATAATAAATGAAAATATTAATTAGAGAAATATTTTTCTGCCAAGAATGTCATTATGAAAAATGTTAATTATTAACGATTTTTACATCTCTGTTTCGAAAATTGTCAGCTTTCTAAATAAGTATTACCAATGTACCAATAAAAGGTATGTGCAGAAATTATTACATATGTACATACCTATATATCTACGTTAAAATAAGTAAACAAATTTAAGCGCTTCTACTTCTAACTTTAGATATATACATTTTATTATTTATTAATAAAAATTCTTAATACAAGTTTCTTCGTACTTTTTTCTTCGCTATTGGGTCAAGCATTTAATAAAGATTCTAAAACCTGATTTGTGGGTTTGTGGTGGTTTCTACCATTTACAATAAGTTGCAAATTATCAACTTTTCTCAAAAAAAGATTTAACAAATCTGTGTGCAAACCCCTTTTTATTTTAGTGTGGTATAATCGAAAAAAAAATGTGGTAGATTTGAATAAGATGTGGTAGATTTTCCAATTCATATTTTATTGGGTATACATATCGCTCACCGTCGTCAAAAGAAGCACAACTCAAAAATTAAATCGGGAAATATAATTGCTAG